AGGGAGGGAGGGAGGGGATCCCGTCAGCGTTCATCGCAGCCCTCAGAAGACACTGTAAGAGGAGTTTGGCTCAACAGGGAGTGAGCAGCTGGCATAACAAATCAAACAAAGCACAGGCTAAATCCCAAAGGAGAGCCTGGTGACTGTGATACGTGCCAGGAACTGGGCTGAAAAAATGCAGTCTAGACAGGTCAGCGCAGGCGAGCATGCCACTCTCGTAGGTTCGTAGGTTCGAAGGCAGGACCCAGAGGCCAGGCGCTCTCGTCCCAGGGTCTGAGGTCTGTGCCCTGTCCTGTTCTGTAGTGTCTGTGGGTGAGGGGGCTGGGAGGCAGAGCCGGGACCGCCTCTGTGGGGACAGGACAGAGGCCTGCGTCACCTCACCTCCACCAGCTCACAGAAGCTCCACAGCTTGGAAAACCACATGATTAGGGTTTTCTCAAAGCATGTGGTGCAGGATTTTTTCGAATAGCACAAGTATGTCACTTCCTAAGGAAGCTTACAGCCAGAAAGATTATACACATACATCAGCAAGACGGAGCTGTCGTTGTCAGGTCTGGGACCAGCAGGCATGAGTTGAATGCCTCGCCCAATGCCCTGACTCCTGGTCACTGTCCATATATATGGTCCCTGCCCTTCTTGGGGCTTTGTGGTTACTTGATGTCTCTTGATTTCTCAGTTCTAAGAGCACCTTGTTAGCACAAGGTAAATGATAGATTTTCCCCTCTGGGAATGCTGCTTAAGCCGAGGGCATGGATGCAACTTGTTCATTCAGAACAAAATTTTGAAATGCCTCAGTGACACAGCCCCCTCCCACACAATTGGCTCTGAAGCCTGGTAGTTAGAATGGAAGTGCTCATGGTCTCACATAGGAGGAGCTGGGCTACCAGGCTGTGCGGTCCCAGCTGGCACAAATGTGGCATCTAGTGCCCGGGTTTCTTGGTGAGCTGATGATCATTTTTGCAGCAGATGCTTCTGCCATTCCATATCATTGCACCTGAAGGAGGAAAACAGCCCAGCCCAGCCCCCGGCTTCTGCTGTTGTGTTGGGAACATGATTTCCTCCAAACTATTTTAAGAATATGCTCAAGGAAGAAGAGCAAAGCATAAGCAACTTGATAATTCTTTTCATATCTTTGTCATTAGGTAGCATTTTTTGCTATTTCAGTTACTTTTCCCTCTGTCTGGTATGTGTCTGTTTCCAAAGTTCTGAGTTTCTTTGAGACTTTTTCTGCACATCATTAAGGCCTGGGCCCAGTTTGTAGTCAGTCATTAAGGATCAACAAAACTAGCAGATCAAGCCTGAATTGACCCAGTGCAGACCTCAAAGTGCAGCCTCCAGAAAGAGATATTAATGATCCCAGTAGTGCTTTTGGAATGTTGAAAGTAAAATGTTTGCCTTTATTTTTCTAGGAATAAATGAATAATACAGATGTTGATGACTTTGTTGATATTATTTGTTTGGGGGTTTTTCGTGCAATCTTCTCTCACATGTGTTTCTGCAGGTGGTGGGCAGGAGAGTGGGAAGCATGTTCGGCGACATGTGGGCCCCACGGAGACAAGAGGCGAACGGTGCTGTGCATCCAGACCATGGGCTCTGACGAGCAGGCTCTGCCGGCTAAGGACTGCCTGCACCTGCTCAAGCCCAAGGCTCTCATTTCCTGCAACAGGGACATCTTGTGTCCATCAGACTGGACCGTAGGCAACTGGAGTGAGGTGAGCTCAGAGGTTAAAAGGGAAACTGGCATGATTTATGCCTCATCAGCCCTTCCCATTATTCGTCATTAACCAATCCAAAGTGACTCTGGAGAAAACGGCACAGTGGCCAGTGTCTGTCATCTCTGGCCTGTTTCCTGCATTTCCCACCGCTCAGTATTCTACTTTGCTTGTTTTCCATTCTTATAGGATCTTCCTCTCATTTGTCCAGTGGTCATATACCTGCCAGGGATATCCTGCTTGCCCAGGCTCACAATAGCTCATTGATAAATCATCAGGATTTTTGTTGGCCTGTGTTAAACTATTGGCAGCAAATCAGGGCTTCCACCCACCCCAAAAGCCAGTTTGTTAAACATTTACCAGTAGTTATGTTTCACTGGAGCTACTCTAGTAAAGTAAAACCAAGGAGCGTTGCTCTAATGGTTGAATGACAGGCAGTGCCCTTGACACTTAATCCATCTTTTCAACACGTGTCAAGGCCTGACCTGACCGAGGTTTAGGATGTCTACTGTGATTAGCCACATAAATTCAAATACGTTTTGCATTTTTCCCAAAGTTAATCTGATCTAAGTCTCTGAGTGTAAGTTATGAAAACTCCCAGGCTTCCGTTTTCTTTGGGTCACCATGGCGCCTGATACGATCAAGACCTATGCTCCCAGAGTCCCTGGTGGCAGTGGACCCCTTTTAGCTCCAAGGTCCTGGAGCCTCTAGGGGCCCCACTCTGCTTCCTTATGCACATTTCAGTCAATGGCCTAAGGAATGACTAAAAAACAAATGTGTTTTTAAAACCAAGGGGGTAAAATGTATAGATGGATGCTGACTTCCTATAAGCTTCTTGGGAAGCCACATGCTTCCCACAGTAACACCACCATTGACCAGAATTATCTGAGGAACTCCTCTTAGAACTCACAAACATTTGATTCAGGAAAATGCCACAGAAGATCAATTAGAACTAAATCTGATGGGCAAGGGAGTAATGTGACCAATTTGGATAAAACCTTTTTGTTTAAAAAGCGGTCTTTGATTATCAGTAAATGAGATTGCTTTTCATTGCTTATAAAGATACTCTACAAGTATTATCTGAAGAGGAATTTGAAAATTTGCGTAAGCAAAGGTACCATCTCTGACGATAACTAATTGAAAACAGAAAACACTCATCTGAATACAGCCACTTTGATAACCTTACTTCCAAGACTATTTCTTGGAAGCAAGAGTCACCGGTTAGGTTTTTCTCTTCTAATCCTATACAGAATACATTCTTGGTCATGTAGGTGACATTTTTGAAAAATGGCAAGTGTGGTCCCTGTATTGTAAGAACTTCCTATCAAATGGAGAGATAGGACCAAAAAAAAGTCAAAGGTATACATGCAAAGAAAACATACCTACAAAGTAGTATGTACTACTGATGGTGCACTGACTCATGTGCACATATCAGCAATAGTCCAGAACGTTCCCCCTGCTATTCCCAGGAGGGTACAATGATAGCTTCTCACTGGCCTATTTCCACCAACAACCTAGATAGAATGTTGTAAATTACAGTGTTGTTGAAATAAGGCTGAATGGGGTATTGTGACTGATCCATTAAATCTGTTTATCGAAAATGTTTGGCTCCATCCAAAGCAGTTAGTAATTTTTGTCACATAGAATTTACTAATTGCTAGAGCCTTCATGCTTTTCAAAAGAACTGCAATTACATGTTTGGCCAAGGAGTTATTTTTATTGTGTTCATGTTTATAGGGAGCAAAATGTTGTGACTTAACTCGGGACAAAGGACCAAAATGTTGACATGATGTGACAAGTACTTGTTCCTGTTCTGAATACAGGCTATTGCATAGTGTATTGTTAGCAGACAGGGATCCAGTTTCTAGCTTCTACCTGATGGAGCAGAGCAGAAAGGCCGACCGCTGCCTTCATTCAGGAGATGTTGGTGCAGGTGCAGTACTTAAATCAGTATCGAAATACTCATCAAATGGGTGTTCCTTTCTTCCCTCTGCTGTCTCACTAATGTCTGTGCACATTAGCCCTCAATTTCTCTAATAGCCTATTTTCTGGAATACAATGAAATGGCGTTGACATTCTAACTATGCTCAGCTACTTTTTTAAGAGAGATGATACAGCGATTCTTGCTACATATACATAGTGCTTATGGTCTGGATTTTGTCTTGAGATTGACATTAGTTCATGCAGGGTAGTGGACAAGCAGTACCTGATCGTTTGGTCTGCATTGGGCCTTTTGAATCACCCTGGATAAGTCTGGAGCTATCAATGTAACTGGGTTAAAAGACCCAAGAACCGTGAGGTTCCTAGACTCCTACAGAATGGCCCTCCCTGGGAAGGAGGAAAGACAAATCCATGAGCTGCCCTTCTCTGTCAAGGCAGATCTGCCAGCCCAGGCAGTGGGAGAAGGGTGGGCTCAGCTGTGCCAGTGGTCAGAGGGGGAACCTAGTGAGAGCCAGAGGCTGCTTCTCCCAGGGAGAGCTTGTCTGCCCCCTATGACCAGCCCCTCTACCTCTAAGCTCAGACTCCTATCCCCAATCTCAAGTTTCAGCAAGACTCCTCTGGTTTTGTCCAACTGCCTTTCTGGGCTTGGAAGATAAAGAAGGGAGACTTTCTTTATATGTTGTAAACAAAGATATGTTGTATCAAAGTTTCTGGGGCTCCCATTTTTACGAGGTACACCACTCCAGGGACAAGCCTTGTGAGAGGCAGCCAGCCTAGTGGTGAAGGACATGGTCTCTGGGCCATGAGTTCCTGGGTTCAAAGCCTGGCTCTGCCACTTATTGGATAGGTGAATTCAGTCTCTTTGTGGTGACTTTACTTTTCTGTGGCTTGTTTCCTCCATCCATGAGATGTGGATAGCAGTAGTACTTAGACTCAAGGGAAACTATGAGGGTTAAATGAATTAATATTCCTAAAGTTCTCACTAAAACAGTGCCAGGCACGCAGTAAGCTCTATCCATACAATTATTTGTTAGTAAAGTGAATAGATGGAAATAATGTCATCCATCATTTGTTGAGTGCTCTCTATAGTACATAGTTTGTCTCATTCAGCTTGTAAAATAGCTCCATGAGGTGGATATTAGTTCATTCATTCCCCTATTTCTCCTGGCACTTAGACTATGAATAGATTTAGTGGAATAGCAATTTCCCTAGATTTTTTAGCCCTGGCAAGCCCTAACTGTATGGCCTTGAGCTAGTGTTAAGACTCTCTTAGCCTTTTCTCATTTAGAAAGCCAGGGTTATAATGCAGATTTCCTAAATATAAAGGGAAAGTTTCATTAGAACTAACAGTAGATTTCAGAGAGCATATAAACATTTTGCATTAACTTAATAGCATCAAAACCCTAGGAAAGCTATTACTACTATCCCTTTTTTTTTTAAGTTTATTTTTATTGTTGACGGTATTACAGATGTCCCTCCTTTGCCCCCAGTTGCCCCCCTCCACTGGCCTCTTATTTAGATCTTTGCACTCTTTGTGAACCCGCTATCCAACACTCAAAGCCCAGGGAGACTTCATTTACACTGTCACAGTTTGTATTTTCAGTTTGTGGAGGGTAAATGGTTGGTCCTGAGTCTCAGCTGGTCTCCAGGAGATAACATATTTCCATGGGAAACTAAAGAAGTACAGAAAAAAAGCGTAAAATAAAAAAGTGTAAAGTGTGAGAGGTTCGGCTGCACAGTTCAGCTTCCTTTGCCCGCCCTGACCCGCTGTAGCCGAGCCGGAGCCCCGGGGCCCCGGAGCCCCCCTCCCTCCTGCACCCACCGCTGTCTCTCTTCCCAGTGCTCTGTGTCCTGCGGCGGCGGAGTGCGGATCCGCAGTGTCACGTGTGCCAAGAACCATGACGAGCCCTGCGACGTGACCAGGAAACCCAACAGCCGGGCCCTGTGTGGCCTCCAGCAGTGCCCATCTAGCCGGAGATTTCTGAAACCCAGCAGAGGCCCAGTTTTCAACGGGAAGAAGCTCCCCACACCCGGGCCGGGCCCCTCGATGCCCATCCCGCCCACAGCATCCAGGCCCAGGTTGCTGAGCACACCCGCAGCGCCCGCGTCTCTGAGCACAAGCGCCACCCCTGCCACAGCCTCAGGAGGAGCCCCGGGGGGGCCTCGGTGGCAGAACAGTTCCACCCAGACCGAACTGGACGCCCCTTATGCCATTTCCACTGCCGCTACGTCCCAGCCCATGCCCCCTGCCTGGCCGCTGAGCGTCCAGCCAAGTGAAGGGACTGTTTCCAATTCAGAGCCTGGCCCTACCTCGGACGGAGGCCTCTCGGCCACAGCAGGGAGTGTTTCTGGTCTGCCCCCTTCCAGCAGCCCCGTGACCTGGCAGGCCACCCCATTTTATAATACCTTGAGCAAAGAGCCAGACATGGAGATGCACAGTGGCTCCGGGGAAGGCAGTGAACAGCCTAAGAACACAAGTGACAACAGCTCTGTCATGTGGACCCAGACCATGGCACCTGGAAACGGTGCTTCAGTGGAAAGTACAGAAATGCCTCTGGGACCTCCGCCAACACCTTATGTTTGGGGGGCATCCTTGTGGCCACCTGTCAGCACGGTGACACAAGGACTGCTACCCAGCGAAGGGCCCGCTACTCTCAAAAATGGTACACCCAGAGCTGAGGGGATGGTCACTGAAAAGCCGGCTAACACTTCACTCCCTCTGGGGGGAGACCACCAGGCAGCGCCCTCAGAGAGGTCGGTGGACCATAACCCCCCAGAACTTCCGAGCAGCATGAACCTGACGCAGAGTCCGGGAGCAGTCCTGACCGAGGCCGATGCAACCAGTCTGATTGCTGAGGGCTTTCTGCTGAATGCCTCCGATTACAAGCAGCTCCCGACAGGCCGCGGCCCTGCCAGCTGGATCGTTGGAAACTGGAGCGAGGTAGGAGTTCCATCTCTTCCCCATCCCATGCCTTTTCTATCCGGAAACAGTCAGGGGCGTTGCATTCTTGTGCAGGTTTCAAAATGGGCTTTATGAAATATAGTCAGATGTGGAATAAGCATGAAGCAATCAGGTTTATGCCCCCCCTCCCTCTTTGTCTTCCTAACTCCAAAAATGGGGTTGGGGAGGGGGGGAGTCTCCAGGGAAGAGAACAGATGTAGTGAGATATAGTGAAAAGAATCTCGACCCAAGTCAGGAGGTCGGGGTCAGCCAGCTGTGTGATAGTGGAAAATGCGGCGTCTCCCCCAGCCTGCTTCTCATCTGCAGAACAGTGGGCCAGTGTGGGTCATCTCCAGTGTCCCTCCCGGCTAGGAAACGATAATCCTATGATGAAGCCCCGCTGAAAGGGCTCGTTTCATTCAAAAGCTAATGTTTGAGACGCTAGTTTAAACCTGCCAAGTAATAGCAATTAAAATGGAAATCTAACGCCACATTCTTTAAGAGAATTCTATAGCTCGTTGTATCCGTGATTTCTTTTCTTTTAGGTGCATTTGTTTGTATACAAAAAAAATCATTTTGGCTTATTGAAAGAAATAGAATACATAGAGAGAAGAAAATAGATGATGAAAAGATGTTGGCCCCTATTTTCAGGCTTCAAGAATTTGGCTGGACATTTGTTTTTCCATTTCTAAAACGAATTCAATCCTTTGAAGCATGAAAATAATTTCTCACCTGTTTGAATTTTGAATGCACAGTATATGTACTTGTTAAAAATAATTTGACAGCTCAAAAGGGGACTTTGTGCCAAAATAATCACACGTTCAAATTATTCAGCATTTTTATGACATTCCATGGCTCATGTTTGTAGATAAAGAAAAGGGAAGTAATAGTAGCTGATATAAAAAATTAACATTTAATTTATAAAGCATGTTAATTTCCAAACCACTTTCATATGCACTCTCTTCTTTTCTCCTTTTGACAGTCCTGAGGAGCAGGTAGAGTCTGATTTGTACCAATCTATAAACAGAGAAACTAAGATTTTCAGTGGTTCAGTGACTTGTCTGATACACTTGTCATTTGGATGATGAACCTTCTCTTTCCACTCGAATCTGCTGTCTCTAGTGAATTTCAGCACCAATTGACAACTTAGCTGTATAAAAAATTTTATATGAATTAATCATCATATTTGGTCATAGCATTGACTATATTGGCAATAACTAGGTAAATTCAAACTTTCAAAAATGTTTGTTTGCATTTGAACTCTGTTTTCACATTGATTCATGTTTGATTTCTTAAGTACTTACCATATTTCCTGTCAATGGAGCAGCATCTTACTCTCTCCACCTGCACGTAAAGGATACAGGCTCAGGAGGAAAACAGATTTTCATGCTTAGAGTAATATTTCTCGGAAGAATGAGAGGAATGGGTCTTATGATTCCTGACATTTTAGTCACATCTTTCCATTAGGAAAGCTCTGATGGGCTCTTAACAATGAGGAGCGTGTTGACAGTGAGCCCTTATAAAGTATGTACCATACTTTAATAGCATGATTTTATGCTAATTAACGTGAATTCTCTCATTTAATCCTACCACAGCCCAAGGAGGCTGGTAATATTTTCCCCATTTTAGAGATGAGGAAACTGGAGCTGAGAGACATGGAGTAGCTGGCCAGCCTCCCACACAGCCAGGAGCGTTGGAGCAGGGATTCAACCCAAGCAGACAGACTTCCCAGCCTCTGACCCACTGCTTTGCAAATCAGAAAACATCACCACTCTCTCTGCCTTCTGTTCTGTTTGTTTCTTCTTTGGTCATAAGACATAAAAACAATGCCAGTTAAGAGGTGACCCTGGGCAGATAGATGAGAAAAATCACAAAGTTCACAGAAAGTATTTTAAAGGGCTCCATGGTTACTTTTGAGCTCACAGAGCCAAATGGTCCCTATTCTGTCACCACAGTGGGTTCAGCCTAGAAATAAAATTGATCTGTTTCAGTTTTGTGAGCAATATCCCCAAAAGGATGTACTTGAAAGTAGTACCTTCAAAACATATCTTTCCTTCCAGAAACATGGGGCCTCCCTAAAAGGACAGATAAACAGGCTTGCTGTCTTCCATCCACGAAAGCAGTCTGGGCAGTGTGTGGCCTCTGCAGACTCAAAGACAGAGAGAACATGTTACAGAAACTGAGGCTACCAGTTAACTTGTAGTATTTTGTTAATTAGTTCATGGAGATGTAGTCTGAAAGCACCTACAATTAAAGGCACTGTGGGCCTTGAGAGGAATACAACCTGGTTGGGCAGAATATGAAAGAGTAGGTGATAAAAGGCGTAGATTAGGGTTGATGTCAGAATAATCAAAGTATGACATGTACAGCATGTGTATGTGATTAGAAATCACACGCACACACACTCTCACGCATGCATGTGCATGAGGCTAGGCTGTTGTGACAAACAGAGCCATACCAGTTATGGTTCACTAAAACAGAAGTTGATTTCTCACTCACGTAATAATACAGGGTAATTCCGAGTCTACAATGGTGGCTATAGATGGTGCTCTGATCTGTGCAATCGTTTGGGAATCCCAGCTGACAGTGGCTCTGCCCTCGTCTCATCATCAGATTTGCCCTGAGGTCACCACCCTAGTCTCAGGTGTTCCTGCAGGGGTTTTATGAGCCGGGCCTGAAGGGGACATGAATTACTTGCTCCCACAATCCATTGTCTTGAACTCAGGCACATGACTGAACCAAACTGCAAGGCCTCTGAGGAATGTAATCTGATTGTGTGCCCAGGAAGAAGGGAAGAAAGCTTATAGTGACTATCTGGCAGTCTCTGTCCCTGAATGGCATGGCCCACTGGGTGTTTTGGGAAGCTCATTCTGGAAGCAGTGAGGCTGAGGGATTTGACCTGTTGGGAGGTTTCTGCAGTGGTCTAGATGAGGCATGAGACTGAGGACAAGACTGCTCAGGATGATGAAGGGAAGTTAAATTCAAAATACAATTTAACATCACTAGGGCTTTGTGAATAATTGATGTGGGGTGTGGAAGGAGAGAGGAGAGGAGTCTGTCAAGACCATTTAATTGGAATCTTGGGTGTCTGTTGAGTGGTGCTCCTATAAACTGAGATACCCCACGTTATATAGAAGGAGTGAGTTTTAATAGAGACAGGTAAAGGAGGGGTGATGAGGTCGGTTATAGATTGAGTTAAAATAGTGGTACCTCTGGGATATCCAGGTGATGACCAACAGATGTTTGTGTGTATGGGTTTGAGCTCTTTAGAGAGGTGAGAACCAGGGGTAAGATTTGGTAGCCAAGACCAGTAAGTAGGAGTTAGAACTTTGAGAGCGAAGGAGGTCCCCTTAGCCTGTAGGCTGCAGAGAGGAGTGGGCCAGTGATAGGACCCTAGAAAACATCGGCATTTTAAGGAGCTGGCTAGCAAAGAGATCCCATGTGGAAGACTAGTAATGAATTGCCTAATATTTAAGACGTAAACCAAGAAAAGTGTTGCCATGGATGCCTAGGAACATAAGAACTGACAGTGGACCTAATGGATTTGACAATTAGCAGGTCACTGGTGACCCTGGGGAGAACAGCGTGTATATTGAGATGGACTGCAGTCCGAAGGGGAGAAGCTATCACAGTCCTAAGTTGGAAGAGTCCCATATTAGGGCTGTTAATAAGAAAAGACAAGCCCCTCTCGGTCCACAAGTTGATACAAAAGCTTTATTAAAAAGTAGCATTAGGATGACCCAGAAATTAGTTTCTTTTCCCATCCTCTTATCTTTTCTTCCAATCCCCAAATCCCAAAGCAGTCATGGAATTATTAAATTTAAATTTAAATATCTTTTGTCCTGAAGATATTTAATATGTGATAATGAATTGGTACATGTTCATTGATTCTATGAGAAATTACCGTATCCAAATAAACCAAAATAAAAGTATACAATAAGCCTGATGACTATTTGAGCCCAGAGGTTGGTTGACACATTTTGATTATAGCCTAATCAAGATATACAGAATTGCCCTGGCTGGTGTGGTTCAGCTGGTGGAGCATCCTCTCATGCACCTAAAGGTTGGAGGGTCAATTCCTGGTCAGGGCACATGCCTGGGTTGCAGGCTCAATCCCCAGTAGGGAGTGTGCAGGAGGAAGCCAACTAATGTTTCTCTCTCACATGATATTTCTCTCTCTCTTTTCCCCTTCCTCTCTCTAAAATCAATTCAAAAAACATATTTAGAAAAAAAAAAAGGATACACAGAATTAATTCTATCTCAAATGTCATCATTTGACTTTGGCAGAAATAAACTGTCTTATTGATTACATCATAGCTCACCAAAAATCTGGCAACCTTGCTGTGGCCACTGAGAGCTATTAATTCCAGGGAGTTTGGCTGGGAAAAGGAAATTGACCCAGAGTGCAGAGTTTTCAAAGCTACAAGGACAGGACAGAGTTCCACGTCTGGCAGAAGCTTCCTCACGACCAGGCGTGGTGCCGGCTCCCTTTGCGGCTTATGAAACAGAACGTTTAACAGAATTGTCAGAGAGGAGCAGGACTCAGAATGAAAACTCTGGGTTTTGAGTTTCCCACTGTCCCCACTTTTTTATTCTGCCTACTCCTGAAGCTGTTTCTTTAGGAATGCCCCCCTATAATGTCATCGCCCTTCTCTCAGTCACCAAGTCTTAGAAACCCCAGCGTCACCCCTGATATTGATCTGCCCTGTGCTACTAAAAGAACCCCAACAGTTTTTTCAAGTCAGTGTCACCTCATCTTCCTGCCATCTCCTCTTTATTTCCTGTTCGCCGAGGGCCCAGTGTTTTCCCAGCTAGTGGCAGGAGGCGTTTGGAAAAGAGTGGGAATGCTTTAGATACGAAGATGGGGAGGGGCAGCCACGAGTGTCCCGTGCCTGAGAGCCAGAGACGATAGGAATCCTGCAGCGTTCTCTGAGGAAGTATCGTCTGGTCCACGATGCCACGAGCACCCCGGGGTGGAGAATGAAGGACCCTCGGTGGCACCTGCTGGACGCCTCCTGCTGGCCTGGGCACTCTGGGTCTCCCCCTTCTCCAGTGCTTTTCACACATCATCACAAGAGATGCCAGGCTGCCAGATTAGTCTTCCAGAGGGAACTTTCTAGTCCTTCCAAACTCCTGATCACAAATCTTTGATGTCTCTACATTACGTATCAGATAAGGTAAAATCCTCTGTAACAGCCACACGGACTTCATGACATAACCCAGCTGTCAAACCGGATGCCTCCGGCTTTTGTCTGTCCTNTCAAACCGGACGCCTCCGGCTTTTGTCTGTCCGCCTTAAGCTTCAGTAAATCGAACTCAGTTTCTACGAAGCCCTCTGCCCCTCCCACTCCAGTGCCTTTATTTAGCGTTCCCTCTGCCTGGAATTTTCTCTCCCTCCTCTGCCCTTTCACATCCTACCTGCTCTTCAGTATCGACCTTTGAGTTTCCTCTCCCATAAAGCCTGTCCTGACCCTGAGGACCAGAAGCAATTTTTCAGGTTGCTCACATCTGACCTGCAGTCCCCTGACCGTGTCCCCCCGCTCTCTGTCCTGCGGCCAAGGCCTGTTCATGTCCTCATGGCACACGACGTCTTTCTCTAATTTTTTTATTTCACAAATTAAAGAGTGGATTTGAAAACCAAGCTAACACTAGAAGTAGACATAAAGCTGGGACCCAGACTTTCTGGGTTTGAATCCTGGCTCAGTCGCTAACAGTATGTCCTCACCGCACCCCACTGTCCTCACCACACCCCACTGTCCTCACCTATAACGTGAGGGCGATGGTAATGCCCGACTCCTGGGTCTGTTAGGAGGTAAAAGGAACAGGTCCACGTAAGGAGCTCAGAGTCGTGTCAGGCACGTAGCAAGCACTTAGTGTTTGCCCCCATATCTGTTTGCAGAACAGGAAACAGGCGTCACTCAGCATGCAGGGGTATTGGCTCTTATTTGGACAGAAAATCACCTCTCATAGGCTTGTGTCTTCATTCAGCCAGGTCCCCCGGGCCAGTCGGTTAAATGGAGGCTCTGCAGTCATGTAAAGGGAAGTGACAGTGTCATTTTCCACAGCCCTTCACGGCGGTTTTCACACGATGCAGCCCTCCCTCCACGTCAGCTCCAGTCTGGACACCCTGAAACCTACTCCTTGATCTATGAATCAGTTCCCATGTGGTCACTAGCTGTTTCCAGGACAAAGTGGAGTTGTCCCTCAGCTTCCTCAGAGCCCTCCTTTCTCTCTGATCCCCCCTCCCAATTTGAAACCAATGCAAGTGACAATCTGTGGAATCCCATCTACTTTTCCTATGTCCCATGGCCTTCCTCCTGTCAGCTTCACCTTGGGGTGTTGTTTGCTTCTTAAATAGAGCCTGTCAAAAAGCAATGAAACAGATTGCTGGGTTCAGGACATCCGAACCCAGCAGGACTAGATGTGGAGCTCCAGAGACAACATGCATTTATTTGCAACATTATATGGTGCAGAGAACTGTAGACATCACTTGAGATATCCCTAGCCTGGGAATTTGGTCTTCCTAGCTCCTTTTTTGGGTTTGGGCAGATGTCAAGTTCTTCTCCATGTTGTAACCTGAAATTAACAGCATACTGACTGTGCGATCTTGAGCACGGCTTCTAAACTCTCTGGGCCCCAGATACCTGGAAAGTGGGGCTCATAATGCTGACCTTGCAGGTGTGTTGTGTTTAGGAGGTAACATCTGTAGATCACTGGCCAGTGCATGAATCATCTCTTTGGTCCTCACAACAACCCAGTGAAGGAGGTCCAAGTGTTCTCACCAGTTTTACAGGCCAGGGAAGTCAGGAAACTGCAAATGATCACACAGTTAGCCAACTGAAGAGCTGTAATTGTACCCTGGTCTCAGGAGGTTATAGGAAATGTAGAAAAGATACCTGTTAGGTTGTATCAATTGACTGTTGCCACAGTAATGCTAAATAACAAACCACCACCACACCTCAGCAGACATTTATTTTTGTTCATGAGTCTGTGGGTCAGCTGGGAGGTTCTTCTGATCTGGGCTGAGCTTCACTGATCTCAGCTTGGCTTGTCATGCGCCCGCTGGAGAGGTGGCTGAAGGCTGGCCGCTCTGGGATGGCCTTGACCCGGTCACCCTGCTCTGTTTCACATGATCTGTCATCCAACAGCGGGCTAGCCCAGCCTTACTCTCATGGCAGAGACGGGGGCCAAGAGAGAGGATTGCAACAAGTGAGGCCTCTTGAGAATGGGCCAAAGTCACAAGAACAGTCCTGATTCAAGAGCTGGGGAACTTCGGACTGCAGGGTGTCATGGGTGTGTCTGAGGAAGTGGCACTCAGCCTCTGTCTCCTGTCCCCTGCCAGTGTTCCACCACCTGTGGGCTGGGCGCCTACTGGCGACGTGTGGAGTGCAGCACCCAGGTGGATTCTGACTGTGCAGCCATTCAGAAGCCTGACCCTGCGAAGAGATGCCACCTCCGTCCCTGTGCCAGCTGGAAAGTGGGAAACTGGAGCAAGGTAACTTAACCAGGCTCAGTGGTGTGGGGGCTTGGGGGCTGGGTGGGGGAGGATCTTATTTATGCATTTGCTAAAAAGTAGCTTTCTCTCCTCCCTTCCTACCTCCCTGCCTCCCTTCTGCCTCATTTCTTTTCTTTTTAATATTTTTTTATTGATATCAGAGAGAGGAAGGGGAAGGGCGAGGGAGAGAGAGAGGNAGTGGGGCTCATAATGCTGACCTTGCAGGTGTGTTGTGTTTAGGAGGTAACATCTGTAGATCACTGGCCAGTGCATGAATCATCTCTTTGGTCCTCACAACAACCCAGTGAAGGAGGTCCAAGTGTTCTCACCAGTTTTACAGGCCAGGGAAGTCAGGAAACTGCAAATGATCACACAGTTAGCCAACTGAAGAGCTGTAATTGTACCCTGGTCTCAGGAGGTTATAGGAAATGTAGAAAAGATACCTGTTAGGTTGTATCAATTGACTGTTGCCACAGTAATGCTAAATAACAAACCACCACCACACCTCAGCAGACATTTATTTTTGTTCATGAGTCTGTGGGTCAGCTGGGAGGTTCTTCTGATCTGGGCTGAGCTTCACTGATCTCAGCTTGGCTTGTCATGCGCCCGCTGGAGAGGTGGCTGAAGGCTGGCCGCTCTGGGATGGCCTTGACCCGGTCACCCTGCTCTGTTTCACATGATCTGTCATCCAACAGCGGGCTAGCCCAGCCTTACTCTCATGGCAGAGACGGGGGCCAAGAGAGAGGATTGCAACAAGTGAGGCCTCTTGAGAATGGGCCAAAGTCACAAGAACAGTCCTGATTCAAGAGCTGGGGAACTTCGGACTGCAGGGTGTCATGGGTGTGTCTGAGGAAGTGGCACTCAGCCTCTGTCTCCTGTCCCCTGCCAGTGTTCCACCACCTGTGGGCTGGGCGCCTACTGGCGACGTGTGGAGTGCAGCACCCAGGTGGATTCTGACTGTGCAGCCATTCAGAAGCCTGACCCTGCGAAGAGATGCCACCTCCGTCCCTGTGCCAGCTGGAAAGTGGGAAACTGGAGCAAGGTAACTTAACCAGGCTCAGTGGTGTGGGGGCTTGGGGGCTGGGTGGGGGAGGATCTTATTTATGCATTTGCTAAAAAGTAGCTTTCTCTCCTCCCTTCCTACCTCCCTGCCTCCCTTCTGCCTCATTTCTTTTCTTTTTAATATTTTTTTATTGATATCAGAGAGAGGAAGGGGAAGGGCGAGGGAGAGAGAGAGGGAAACATCAATGATGAGAGAGAATCATCGATTGGCTGCCTCCTGCATGCCCACAACCCGGGCATGTGCCCTGATCAGGAATCGAACTGTGAACGTCTGGTCCGTAGGTTGATGCTCAATTATTGAGCCAACACCAGCAGGGCTGCCTCATTTCTTTGATTAAATCGTGGGTGAGTAAATCATAGGGTTACCATAGGCCTACTACTCTTGTGTACAGTAGTTTTAGAACAAGTACAGAGTGTTTATTAATCCACATGTTTTTATCTACCTGTCCTTCTCTTTACCAGATAAGTTAAATTTGTGCCCTTGATTGCTGGTCCAGGATGCAACACTGTTTCTAAATTACTTAAATTTAGCATCGTAATTAATAATTATACATTATCACATGTGTAATTAAATCGTGGCTCAGCAGCTGCTCACAAAGCAAGTATTACATTAAATCTGCCAGACTCGAAAAGAAAAGAAAGCTGAGCCATAAAGAAGAATTTGATCGTTAGAAGTACACTTCCTATTTTCCGTATCTTTTTGTGGTTTTATTGTCTTTGCTAATCGGGCTGTGGTTGCTCACTTTATTGGGCTGTCTGCAGAGTTCTTGTAAAGGCTGCATCGGGTTCTAGGATTACCTAGCCTGGGTGCTTCAGGACACTAACCAGCCAGACCTGCCAGTCACCCTGGATGGGGCTGAGCCGGCCCCTGGGGGATATACACCTGGGCTATGACAATGGTCAGCGGTGGGGCTGAGAGCCACCTGGCAGTAGGCGGTACAGAGGTGGGGGCCATGCATACACCTGCTTGCCAAGCACACACAACCCAAGATGTCCTGTAGGCCCTGTCTTCTCTCTGGGGAGCCAGTTTCCCTTGACACAGAAGGGAAAAGAAAGAGCTGCCCAGAAGTCTGGGGAGGCTGGGGTCCTCTTTAGATGTTAGCACCCTCGTGGAGTGGAGAGCTCATGTCCCCAACGGCAGCACTGCGACGGGTCTCACCGGGCAGCTCCGGCTCCCCTGGCAGACTCACCTGCACACAGGAGCCTGGAACATCATTTACCTGCTTCAGGCTGCTTTTCCCAGAGCGAGGCTCTGATCTTTTGGAAGAGGGGAAGGAGGAGATCACTTGGCCTGTCTCTGCCGCCCACCAGCCCCCTTCCTCCATTTGCACACACCGTTGTTCTTAGTGAGGAATGCTGGCTCTTGTTTCTTTCTCTGCCAACTCAGCACAAGCCCAGGGTCCAACGAGGACTTGGTGCTTGGCTGTAAATTCTCTTCAATATCCAGAAAAATCTCCAGAAACATCTTCTACCTCTGAGCAAGTCCTAAAGGTCCACTTTCCCATCACTGGGACTAATCCTTTCCGTGGAAATTACACGGCTCATGGAAAGGACAGATGCGTGAAATAGCTCACACTTTGCAAAGGTCACTCCAGTTAAAGCCCTAAGAATTCCAGGTGGTGTCAAACCCTGGAGGAGAGACCTAGAAACCGTTCTCTGGAGCTAGACCCCCTGAGAAAAGCCCTGCTCTGCCTGCACATCCCTTCCCTGGCTCTGGATCTCCTCTCCTTGTGCCCGGGAGGGTGGCAGGTGCTATTAACCCCTGCACTCCTGGTAGTTCTGCAGAAGATGTCTCTGACTTAATCAAGATCTGCCAGAATGTGGTCACCACCGCAGCTAAAATCTAATCCTCAGAGTTATACAGTCCTATCAGTAAAGAAAACGTCTCTTCTCTCAGGATAACAGATACAGCCAAGGTCAGAGACACTGTTTAACTGCTGATAGTCAATTGCACTGACTGTTGTTTTTTCTGACTGTGGGATATCATGGATACTGCATACATGACTTCTGTTTTTCCTGGGAGTGTTGGCTTAGGTTTTATCTGAAAGTCTGATGATTAAGAGAGACTCCGTTTTGACTCCTGCTTTATAAACCAGGTCACAAGGGTCACACACTGGGAAAGATTTGAGGGCCTTCTTAGTTTTCTCTTCCTTCAGGACTTGTAAGCTCATTCAGAGGCAAACCCCAAAACCTAGAGTAGGAAAGTGGACCCTGGTTTTGCCTTTAAGTATCCAGAGGGTTTAGATTCGGCCAAGATGACAAGTTTGCCTTTTCACAGATGCTTTCTCAGAGGGAAGAATTCTAATTTTCCCTGAACCTTCTGCATCATCCCACCAATCTCTACCCCAGATCCAGAGACTTAATTCTCATAGGACGACAGGTATGCTGCAGACTCACCTGAACCCACATGTGTCACACCTGAAGCCTCCGGGGTCCTCACTGTGATTGCTCTGAATTTCATTTGTTTTACCAGCTTGTGTCTCTTGCAGTCATGTCCTTGTTAAAGCCGATACCACTGCTATGGACATTGTCTCACATGTGACAGTAGAATGCGATTCATGTTCAGATCTCTAGCTTCATAAGGTGTAGAGGTAGTTTTCCAGAATGACTCGCTTCCTCTTGATGCATTGATCTGTCTGGAACCAACTCAAGGTCGTAGTCCTCAGGTTTGTCCCAGAGATGTACTCGGGAAAAAGTAGTTCTGCATAATTGAATCCTAGAAGCAGCGCTGGGCTGGGGATTGGACTCATCTGGGTTGGCGCCCGGCCTCTCCCTGGTCACTGGCCACCATGTGACTCTGGTCCATTCATCTAACCTCTTAGGAGCTTTAGTTTGCTCACCTCTGAAAAATTAAGTGTAGAACATTGCCTCTACTTACCTCATTGAGTTATTATAAGGATCAAAAGAGAGAATATTTTTGCAACAAATTTGTCGATGGTAAACGACTGTTCAGATGAAACCCTGGGCAAACTCTAGCTCTAGGTAAAGGTTAGGACCAGCTTTTATGTGTTTACTAACCTCTGGTTTCCAGGGTCAGAAGGCCTGTGGACAGGTAATAGTGGAATAAGTCCTGTCACCCAAGTGACTGGCTCAAGCAGGTGTCCACTCCCAGCCCTAAGCAGACAAGGCACTCAAATGTCCATGAACTTGGGAAGACTTGACCTGTCTTGGGCCTTGGCATTTGCCAAATACTACCATGCACTGACACTGCACAAGAGCTTTAGATACACAATTTAATTTTCATCTGATACAGAATCTTCTTTATAGTTCCCACTGTGGAAACAAAGCTTGAAGTGTTCACATCACGAACACTCCATCACGAAACTAGTGCTCACTCTCAGTTCTAAGAAACCACCACCTGGAGGCTACATCATCAGCTTAATTACAGCTTTTCAGAAGGAAAGGAAACACTGCACAGTAAATATGCACGTCAGTTTTAAGACACACGGCAATTTCAGAGCATTAAAATCCATCTGAGAAAAACAGTGGTTCTTGTGCTGGAAGAAGCTCAGTACATGACACAGATGAGCTTGGAAACCCTTCCGTGGGTTTGACACCAACACTGTGCATCACCCACAGCTCCCACACTTCCTGAGTGAGCATCCTGCCCTCACCTTCTGAAGTTTCGTAAACTGGCAACCTGACTACCTACCCCTGTATTGTCTTTTTGAGAATGAGCACCACCCTTTTCATAGTTAAGTCTAAGAGATCTTGTTAATTTCTGAAATGAATTAGAAATACTTTTCCATTTTTTCTTGGAATGAGGTCTTCCTACCTAGGCAATGTTGTAATTTTACTTTAGAGGGTAGTTGACTCTATTATCTATAGCTTTGCTAGAAAATAAGAGACAGTGGCAGCTTTTCCTTATGACCTTGGGAGTCATCTATTTGCTAATATATTTGCATATATTGCTAGTCTTCCTGTCTGATTGTACTTCTTGTCTCCGTGTTTATTGGATTTTTCAGACTGTCAATGGCAGCGCTACATTTTTTCAGATGTGAATATTTACAAATGAATTAAATAGGGAAAGAACCTCAATTGAGGACTGTTTGTATTTAGCCTATTTGCTAAATACAAATGTTCCTCAACTTTTATACATAGCATGTCACCAGGAACATATATTAAATTCCAGTGTGCAAAACTCAACATGTAGAACTGTGTGTTATAGGGGAGCCTCTATCCTCTTTCTCTTGCTCTCCACACAGTGCTCCAGGAACTGCGGCGGCGGCTTCCAGATCCGGGAGATTCAGTGCGTGGACGGCCGGGACCACCGGAGCCTGAGGCCCTTTCACTGCCAGTTCTCGGCCGGCATCCCTCCCCCGCTGAGCATGAGCTGCAACCCGGAGCCCTGTGAGGAGTGGCAGGTGGAGCCCTGGAGCCAGGTACAGCCCCTTGTCCACCATCCACACAGCCAGGAGCCAGAGTGAATGTCTGTGTCACCATGTGAGCCTAGAAGTCAGGGAAGACCATGCCTGCATCCTGCCAACGACTGGCCTCCATTCAGTGATCCAGCACTGTATGGGGAGGCTGACCAGGTCAACAGCTTAAAGACTATGTTGTGCAGCTTCCACTGCGACACGTCCGTGTTTTTGTTAGAACCTAGTCTCCCAATGGGTATACAGGAGAGTTGGAGGTCCCTGCTGGGGAAATGCACGTGGACCACTTTGATGAGAGCCATTCAGATCAGAGCCTCACATGCCCTCCTAGGCTTCTGCAGTCAGGCTGGGGGTGATGGTCAGATCCTTTCCACACATAGGATATGTTAGAGTTCTCTCTCTCAGTTAGATGCCCAGATCATTGCACAAAGAAAAAGAAGTGTGTGTGTGTTCATGTCCAAGTCCTTTGTTTTGTGAGGGCCCAGACCCTGCTGGGCCTCTGTGCTACGTCAACACATGAAAACAAGGTTACCGTTCTTTAGTGAAGTATGATGATCTTAGTTGCCAATAGGCAAATGCCTCAGTAGACAGAAATACTACTCCCAAATCCATCATGCATGGTGGAAAAAAGAGACAAAGAGAACCCAGCATATTTTGAGGGTGTCCGTGAGCTAGGCATTTTACCTACAATACGTAGTTTAATTCTCAAAACAGCCTGGATAACAGGCCTTATTAATTGCATTTTATTGGTGAAGACATTGAGACTCAGAAGCTTTCATGAGGTCCCCCAACTAGAAAATAAGTTGGTGGAGTATTAACTCCAGCCTAAGCAGACTCCAGTGCCTGTGCTCTTTCTGCTGTAGACCTTAGCCCAGTAGGCACTGAGAGAGTGAACTGAGGAAAAAGAGTACATTAAGAGCCACTTGGGTGTCCTACCATGTGCCGGGGAAGGGAAGGTAGAGTACAAGTGTAGGATATAGAGTTTGGGTCAAACGATGGAATACGGATTCCCCTAGAGCTTATAGTCTACTGGGTCCAGCAGCCATGCTGATTTCTCACCCTCTGGGCCGATACCTGGTGCTTTCTGGGGCAGCAGCCACCACTGTCCCCTCTTTCTCCCCCTTCCCCTGCCCAGGTCTGGAGAACATGAAGCACTTGCTGTTCCCATGCTCTGGCCTTAGACCTCCAAGCTCTCATGTATGCTGAGCCTAATAATGGCTTCCGGAATCCTGGAATTTACAGAGGAGCTTAAATTGCCCTGTCAGAGAAATAGCATTTGCAGGTTATAAAAAATGAGCAATTATATCTGCTCTCTGGTTATGAAAGAGATGTATTCTTTATACTTCCTCAGTAGCTTCTGCGAGCCCCAATCATGAGCCTGTTCCCAGAGCGCTGTTCCCTGAAGGCCTACCACCCTCCTTTCCAAATTTCTCTGTTCTGAGCAAACCACAAAGTTGGAAATCTTCCCTCTGGGGCTCTGAGAAACAGAGATGGAAAATGCAAGTCAGTTGGGTATATCCTTGGAGCTGTTGGAGGACTAGACACATTCAGGTGCTTTCCTGAGCCATCATGATGTTGCTCTGTCTACACACTATCTAATGCCACATGGGAATGTCAGGGGGTGCCAGCCAGCCCAGGCTGCTTGCATGGAAAGTGCATTTCAGCTGCGAGAATGTGTCTTCTCCAGTGGGCCACAAACCAACATGCTTCAGAATCACCTGGAGGGCTTGTTCCCACACAGGTGTCTGGACCCACACCCCCAGACTCTCCAATTCAGAGATCTGGGGTGGAGCATAAATTTTGCATTTCTAACAAGTATCCAGAAGATGCTGCATCTGCTGGCCTGGGGACCACACTTTGAGGACCACTGGTTTATATCTTCTTCACCCCTTTTTCCTGGAGATTACTCAGCTAGGTGATCCTGAATCTGTATGCACATGTGTAAATACACACAAGGATCCCAAGTGTGGGATTACTCTCCTCTCCTCATATAGTTAAAAATGGAGTGCATAAATTGGGAAAGTCCATGTTGACTCTCAAAGTTGGAACATTGTGAATGCAGTAGATTAGTTCTTTTATTAAGCAGAAAGGGCTACTTGTATATAATTTCCATTTTCTATGGTACCACCATACACATAGTGCCTGATGTGATGGGCAAGATGTTGACAACCAGAATTGTTTGTTGTTGTTACCATGCCATAATTAAGATTCTTCAAAGTACTAGGCTTTTTGAGAGTACTCAAAGTGCTTTTCAGAGAGTCTTGGTGAGTTAATTTCCTTCCAAAAACTTCAGGAAGATGAGACAATATGTCTTATAAAATTATTTTAGTGAGCAAAAACCTGACACATTTTAGATTGTATCCCTTCAGGATCCCAACTTGTCATTTCAGATTTATTTTGTGAGCATTACAGCCGGTGCATCAGAACCCCAAGCAAACCTACCCATTTCCCTGTTCAGAATAGAGACAAATTCTCAGCTCTGGTAGGAAAGGAAGACCAAATCCCCTTTTAACAGGAGATGAACAAAATTGTATTGCAAATGTGTGTGCTCCCGGTTTAGGCGGTCGGAGCTAACCATAATAAAAATGGCTGTATTTTACATTTTGGTTTCTAAACACTGTTGCCAGAAGGCAAAATGCAGATAACGATGTCATTCTGGATTGATGACTTACTTCTATTTTTAACCAAAATTCCTTCTGTTTGACATATTTGACATGGAACTATTTGGCATCTTCTGCTTTTTTCTCCTCTTATCCTCAGAATTTCCTTTGTCAATCTTCCTTCTCTTTAAGTCTGTTTCACCGCTGTTGTTTGAAATCACTGAGTGGTCATTGTAAGGAACCTATAACAGATGCTGCAATTCCAGTAGAGATACTAATATTCTTAATAACACTGCACACAACAGAAATGACATTAGAAAGTTCTTCCCTCATCACTGCAGATGCCACGTGTGATTGTCACCTAACCTTGTCCCTGTCCCATATCAGTGTTCCAGGTCCTGTGGAGGCGGAGTGCAGGAGAGAGCAGTGACTTGTCCGAGGGGCCTCTGTGATTGGGCAAAAAAGCCCGTGTCTACTGCACCCTGCAATGGGCACCCCTGTTGTCACTGGGCCACAGGGAACTGGGACTTGGTAAGAGTGCGTTGTGTTCTCTTCAATTTATTTTAGTCTTAAAAAAAAAAAGCATTTGTTTTCTTTTGATTTCAAAAGTAATATATATTCCTTGTAATGTGCAGTGTATCCATCAATTGACAGCATGTTTCTCTATATTTTAGTTCTAATATTCTTCTGCTATGTAAATACCTCTAAGTCTGCTGAAGTTGACCCATAGCTGACATGGTGGTCTACTGACATTGACATGGTGTCTACTGTCTTGAGTTCAGAAGAGAAAAAGGTCAAAGACTTTCAAAAGGTGCAGATCTAATGCCAAAACTGTCCCAGAGGCCCAAGGCCCAAGAAAAGGCAGTTTGCAGGAATCGCACGCACCCTCAAGTTTGAGGCTGAGCCTGATTTAGCTACTTCCAGGTCTCCCGTCATTTGCAGATCAGCTTGCCGGTGGTCAGCCAGTTGGATGGAGAGACAAATAAAAGAAATAAACTGTAAATGAGGGAAAGATCTATTATTATTCAAAGTTTATTTATTGTATAAATAAATATATAAGTGATATCGAAAATTAATAAAATTCTTCCATAGACAGATTTGGCCATCGCTCTGACTTGTCTTATCCTGGATTCTCTAGAAAATAAAATCTTGAAGCAAAAGTAATCACTTTATTGGGAAGTACAATGCCTGGGAAGCAGATGTGATAGGAAGAAAGGAAGGAAGCAGGGAAGTGGGGAACGGACGAGAGGTGGTACGTTACCAACCTGACATGCTTGGTGTCCGGAGCAGTTGATGACTCGTTCTCGAAAGGTCTAAAAGCTGTGTGAACTACTGCCCCTTAGGGCGGTTCATCCAGAGGTAGGAAGAGAGAAGTCTGCTGGCTCCAGTCTCCCAGGAATGGGTGAAAGGTCTCCCCTCAGATGGCTAGTACCCTGCATTGTCCTGGATTAGTCATGTGTGGGCAGGTCCCACTGTGTCTCATGTCCCATTGGCAACAAGAAAGCCCAGAGTCAGGAGATGAGAGGCACACAACTTGGGCATGAAGTGCAGGCCAGTGGGCTGTGCTTCCATGAAGTTGGACACTATCTCAGCTGAGGAAGATCCAAGGCCCAGCTGGGAAAGGGAGAGCCAAGAGGATCTGATACACTGACCTCCCAACTACAAATGCTTTTTAAAGTAACATGTTCTTATGTAAGTGTATTTTGATGATTATAATTATAACACAGGCCAATGCAGTATTTTGCCTGACATAATGCCCCCAGATATTTTGCTGATGCTATATTCTTCTTAGTAATTTTCATTAGCTTTGTAGTTGCACCTGCACGCCCATGAAGGATTCCAAGACTGCCATGTACTATATTTTCCTTTGGCTTTTACTATATTGCTATTTTTACCCATCATTCTTCTTTTCATACATGCAGGTTCTTTTATCTGGAAGTATATTTTTTTAATCTTCACCCGAGGTTATGTTTTTATTGATGTTAGAGAGAGAGGAAGGAAGGGGGGGAGAGAGAGAGAGAGACATCAATGTGAGAGAGAAACATCGATCGGTTGCCTCTCATACGTGCCCTGACCAGGGATCAAACCCACAACTTAGGGATGTGCCCTAACTGAACCCACAACCCTTTGGTGCGTGGGACGATGCTTCATCCAACTGGGCCACCCAGCCAGGGTACTGTTTTTCTTTTTAAATTAAATTTATTGGAGTGATATTGGTTAATAACTTTATATGAATTTCAGGTGTGCCACTTTATAATACAACATTTGCCTAGTCTATTGTGTGTTCACCACGCAAAGTATAGTCTCCTTCCATTACCATATATTTGACCCCTTTACTCTCTTAGTCTTTCCCCCACTCCTCTTTCCCTCAGGTAACCAGCATTCTTGAGTCTGTATCTATGAGTTTGGTTGGTTGGTTGGTTGGTTTGTTCCCTTGTTACTTTTGGTTTTATATCTAACATCTGAATGAAGTCATACGGTCCTTGTCCTTTTCTGACTCACTTATTTCACTTAAATATTCTCAAGATCCATCCATGTTGTGGCAAATGGCAATATTTCATCTTTTTGTGACTGGGTAGTTAACAGATTGCTTTTCTCTTGCTGTGTTTGCTATTCTGTCTTGAATTTTTGGCATTTTACTTATGATGTGTCTGGGTGTGGGCCTCTTTGGATTCTTCTTGCTTGGGACTCTGTGCCTCCTGAACTTGTGTCACTTTTTCCTTGACCAGGTTAGGGAAATTTTCTGCCATTATGTCTTCAAAAATGTTCTCTAACCCTTGCTTACTTTCAGCCTCTTCTGGCATTCCTGTGATGCTAATATTGTTACGTTTCATATTGTCCCACAGTTCCCTTAGGCTGTCCTGTTTTTTAATTGTTTTTTCTTTTTAGATCTCTGATTGAGTGATTTTTTTCTTCCCTGTCTTCTAATTTGCTGATCCTATCCTCAGCTTCCTCTAATCTGCTGTTTATTCCTTCCAATGTATTCATTATTTCTGCTATATCATTCTTCATTTCTGACTGGTCATTTTTCATAGTTTCCATATCTTTTTTCATGCTGTTGAGCATCCATACAATCAGTATTCTGAACTCTGTATCTGATAGATTGCTTATCTCCATTTCATTTAGCTCTTTTTCTGGAGACTTCTCTTGTTCTTTCATTTGGGGCTTGTTTTTTTGTCTCCCCAGTTTGGCTGCCTATTTGGGTTTGTTTCTATGTATTAGGTAGGCCTCCTAGGACTCAGTCTTTTTGGAAGGTCTCTGGTGCAATGTCAGATGCTGTTTGTGTGGCTGAGTAGTATTCCATTGTAGTATGAACCAACATCTTCTCTACCCAGACATCTGTTGAAGGACACTTAGGTTGTTTCCATGTCTTGGCTATTGTAAGTAATTCTTCAATTAACATAGGGGTACATATATCTTTATAAATAAGTATTTTCAAATTTCTCTGATAGACATCCAGAATTTTAAACACATATATATGGTAAATTCAGACATATTTTCTTCCATCCCCAGGAATCATCTTGTCTAAGCTGCTTTCACAGGCCGATGAATCTCTCTTCTGATTGCAGGTGGCCAGATCATGACCTTACAGTGGAACCTTGCCTGTTAGAATGGCTTGAGCCCACACGTGATCCAGCGAGGTCCATTCCAAACTCTCTCCCCATTCCACCTCTCTCACTTCCCTTTTTATTCAGCTCTCAGCTTTCTTTATAGCTCTGTTCCCTTTCCTCACATATGATTTCCAGCCCCAGATCAAAACTAGTTCAGAGAAAATGAATTGCCAAGAAACCAGGGCCCAGATATGAAATTTTTTTCTATTTTACTCATAACTCAACCTCTGTACACATTCTACAGAGAACCCAATAGTAACTTAAGCCGAACACAGTCCACACAATCTATAATATAATCTCTTCCTAAATTTACATCTCCACATTATTAAAGCCTTTATTCTATGACTCCAGAAAGGTTTCTGATCATTGAGACTTCCCCCTACTTGACCATGGTGGGTTGGATATGTCCTGCTGGGGTTCTCCTGGGGAGTCTGGGGAAGGATTCTGAATTTCTCCATGCACCCCTCTTTCAGTGCACGGCTTCCTGTGGAGGTGGTTTTCAGAAGAGGAATGTCCACTGTGTTTCCTCAGAGGACAACAACACTGAAGATCAAGACCAATGCCAGTGTGACCATGAACCCAGACCTCCTGAGTTCCAAAGATGCAACCAGCAGGCCTGTAGGAAGAGTGCTGGTGAGTGAATGGCTTTGCTCAGGGGGGAGAGAGCTTTTCACAAATAAGTTGTCCTGCAAGACTCGATTCCTGGGTAGTTTTAGTCTCCTTTACCGAGCCCGGAATTGTAATGCGGAAAAGCCAGCCAGCATCTCTGGGAGGAAGCTGTCTGACTTGGTGAAGATTGACTCTAATTCCTTGAGGGATTGTCTCTTCCGTTGTCCCAAAGTGCATTCACACGGATATCATCCCCCACAGGTGAGAATCACTTCTCTTTTTTCAAAGACTTTTCAGAGATGCTCCTGCCTTTCTCAGGAACCCCATCAAGTACTAAATGGCCCTCTATATCAATCTAGCACACTGTCTTAGGTTTACAGAAACTGACTCTGAGATGCAAATTTGTGTGCAAGGGATTCGTTAAGAAAATGCTCCAGGGAAGACCATTAAGGGAGTGTGGGCAGCAAGACAGAAAAGGGAAGAAGCACAGCCAGGCTGCCCTCTCAGGGACAGTCCAGGCTCCACTGTGGTCCCACAGGGGAGCTCTAAGGTGTAAGTTCTGTCTCAGCTATCTGCTGCCACAAATGCACCTTCTTCGTCCACCATCCCCAAAGGTTTCAGGAGAGGCTGGCTAAGAAAGTGGAATAGCCCTGTCACCCAGGCTTCCCTGCTAATCTCTGTTCCACAACCAGAAACCTAGGATGGAATCCCTTCCCTTGTTCTGAATAGCAGCCCATGGGACACACGGCCCTGGCCCCATAGAAAATGCCAGCTGCTGTAGGGGAGGGGGACATGGGAGAGGAAACGCTCAAGTTTCTTTCCATAGTAGGAATACTTGGCCAGAACATGTGCTCTTTCTCAAATATCAGAGCATGTACCAAAGTTTTCTGTGGGATTTCAGGAGATGGATTGTTAAAACGGGTATAAGAAGAGTCCTGAGGAAGAAAAGAATGAGCAGTGAAGAGGTTTGGGGTTCCAGGAATATTGCATGTTACCTATTCTCAAGGGCACTTAAAACTTGCTCACAAAATGGAATTTGAGAGATAACAGAAGACACCGATTTCTCCACAAAGCACACACACACACACACACACACACACACACACACACACAAACACACAAGTCACCATCGAGGGAATGTCCTGAAGAGATAGAAAGTATTTTTTGCCTTTATGACCTGAAGGTGAAAGAGCAGAGAGAGGCAAAAACACTGTCCCAGGCTTTGAGTAAAGGGGTATTACCTGAATTTCTACTTTTACTGACAGTTCTATTTACATAGGACAGAAGCCTATTTGTGAAAAAGCTTTTCTCCAGGACTATGCAAATCTTTTCTGTAAAGGAGAGCAAAAGACAATCAGAGCTCATAGAGGCACTCATGCTAAGTTTGAAACAATTCACTTTATAGGAGAGAAATCTGTGATTTAGACCTTACTGAATTCCTTCCAGGCCAGGCGACTGTGGGCCAGGCAGTCTGAGTCTCACCCACAGAATGTGTGGTGGTAGTTCCTGAGAAATCCAGTCTAATTCCTTGCTGTGACTATGAGGGGAGCAGAAC